AAGTGCAAGTCTGGCAATGCAAACACTGACGGTTGCAGTTGCAGCCCACTGAAAATGAAGGGCACCAACAAATCTCAAAACCCTGGAACACGCCAACAACAATGAATTGCAAGTCTGATCCAAACAAAGAACTCCTCTAGGTTGGCCCTCTGAGTAGGATGGAATCACCTGGTTGCTGGCGAGCAACTGCCTTCGCAAGCCGGCCCGTTTTTTGAAAGGAGAATAGTCCCACACCGGCGGCAACTCGGCTGCATGCTTCGGAAGGAAGGGAAATCTTGGTTGCTGTTGACCCCCCTGCAAAAAGTGTAAAACTTTTTTGGGGTTTGGTGGCAAACGCAACTTCTCTTTCCCAAAAAGCTAAAGTCTAAAGATCCAACCCAATGGCAGTCAAAGTGCATGTTCATCTGCAGTGCGTGTGCCTGGGTTTTCATAGCTCAAGTCTCCATGCGCCAACTAGGTCCAGTAGAGAGGTTAGACTAAGGGTACCACCGTTTTTCTGTAGTCTATGTTAGTAGGGTCCCGAACCCTCCCAACCCAAAAATGAAACGGTAAGAGTTGGCACCCTTTCGCTGGGGGGCGCGTCGATGAAGTCGAGTGGGGGTTTAGTGGAAAACACCACTTGAATTCAACCAAAAAGTTAAAGTCCAAAGATCCAACCCACTAGCAGTCAAGCAGCATTGTCCATGTGACCCCACAGAAAGGGCAAGCTGGTGGTTACCAGCAAATGATATACCCACTCTATCCAACCCAATGGTGGTTGCCAGCCCAACAGAAAGTCAAGAAAATGTGGGTGAGAAAGTTGGCACCCTTTCGTTGGGGGAAGCCAAACCTGGGCCCCAGAGAACTGCGCCGATGTCGATTTCGGCTTGGCCCCGGGCAGTCCGGGTCTTCAGACCTCAGTGGCTCATTCCTAGGGGCCCAAGGGCCTGTTTTTGTTGAGGGTACCGCAGCTTTGTGGTGAAGGGAAACTAAGAGGAACACCACCATGGCTCATTTTGAAAAGAATGCCTTTGAGTCTGATCAGTGGGAACCTCCCCGATTAAAATTCACACTCACACCCACTCATTCAACGCCATACCAAAAGGGAGCCACAGCCCTGCTAACTGGAGACTCAGCTCCTAAGTAGGGGCCATAAGGCAGTTTTCTTTTAGACCACCTCACAAGGAGGGCATCATGCCCAATCTTCACAATGTCCACAAGTCCGCAATTAGAACTCGTGCCAGTCTTAAAATAATGGACCGCCAAATGGTTCGTTTCCTTTTGGCTTGCACGGAATAAACCTCTCCACAAGGATTACTGTAGCCCTTTAAAAAAAAAAGACACACATCAGGGTGTGGTTTTTTAAGTGGGAACCCTCTGGCGGACATCATGGGGTTTGATGTCCACAAACCAGTTCCGATTCCTAAAAATCATTCCCATGTGTCAAAATAGAGGTTTGGACCCAACAATGGGTGTGTATGCCTTTTGTTGTTCGGCAAGATGGTTATAACAAAAATCTGAACTAATTGAATCTACGACTAAAAGATCCGAGCCCCAAAAGTGACCAAAGCCCGAAATGGAAAGAGCAGGTGAGAGAGCTATATTGCGGAAAATCCAACTTTCCGTGATACCAAAACAGCCCAAACTGCCTACCTACCACTGGCTAAAGTCAAGTTGAACTCAGGGAGCGAGATCCAAAAAAAAAGGCAAAACGAAACAAAAAACGGACCTCAGTGCCAAAAAAGGTCGGTATCGCTCCCACTCTCGGCGCCCGGACGCCCCGGAGGCGGTGGAGGCATCTGCAAAGCCATCCACTTCACCGCCTGCGGCGGAGCCGCGGGGTCTCGGCTTGGGGAAAGGAGGCGTTGCTGTTGAGGTCTCGGCGAATGAAAAGGTTGGTCATGAAAACGTGCATGAAAAGAGCCCAGAAGAAACGTGTTTGTGCTTCTTTATAAAAACAAATATGCATTGGGGGTTGTAGAAAGGCGTGTGAAAAGAACTTACAAGAAGGGGTTTACAGGAAGGTTGGTCTAAGACACCAATTACAAGAAATTCTACCGGAAATCATTGCTTTTGGTGTTTGAGCATCCAAGTTCCTGAGTAACTCCCTTCTTCCTAAACAAGGTTGTGGGGATGGTTTTGTGGTAGAAAGGGCTTATAAAAGGTCGGGAGTTAGGTTTAAAAGGGTTGTAACAGCCTGGTTGCGGTTCTAACATTCTAGTCTCTTTGTGGTTAGCTTCAAATTCTCAACCTGCATAAACATGTTTAAAACGTTTTTGTTCAAACAGGAGTTGCTCGTTTCACCGAGTTTTTGGCTTTTTGGGCCATTGCATCTGCGCCCCACCTGCCAGAGTCGCTTTGGCCGCTGCGGGCGCGGGCGGCGCAGGCACGGCATTCGCCGCGGAGGCGTCCGCGGACGTGCCGGAAGCGTCCAGGACGAAAGCGGCGTCTAAACCGCAGTTCTCCAGGATCCGATCGATCCTCGGTTCGGTCGGTCTGAAACCATCTCCAGGAACGCTAGGAGCTTCTTCTTTTTTGGGCGCCTTTAAATTTCGGATTGGTCTGAAACCAGCTCCAGGAACGCTAGGAGCTTCTTCTTCTTTGGGCGCCTTTAAATTTCGGATTGGTCTGAAACCAGCTCCAGGAACGCCAGGAGCTTCTTCTTTTTTGGGCGCCTTTAAATTTCGGATTGGTCTGAAACCAGCTCCAGGAACGCTAGGAGCTTCTTATTTTGTTTGGACGTCCGAGAAAAAAATCGGAGTTGATCTCCGACGTGGTGTCGGTCTTCCTTTTTGCCGTTGAAGCAACCCCAAAAGTGTACCCTCAAGAAAAGTGCTTGGTGGGGATTTGGCCAAACTTCATAAATCAGATGTGTTCATGTGGACAAAGTCCTGCACAAGTAGGGGGTGAAACCCCATGGCTGGTTGATTTGTCAAAGCTACCATCTGGTGCGAAGTGGGATTTGTCCATCAGGACTGTGGATGGTTGCGAAATCCAGCGCGCACCTAAGAAACCCAACAGAATGATTCAACTCCCCAACGTTAAATACCCAACAAACAATGATTTCAGGCATGGACCATGGTTTCTCAGGCGGCGCGAAATGGATGTTATCAATCCGCAGGATTCAACGTCCTCCTCTCCTCCTGGTTCGACCAAGGGACCAATACTCAGCTGACGAAGGATATATGCCCTTTGGGACAGAAAAGTCTACCAATTGCAAACCAATCCAGGGGAACCAAAAAACCGAAAGCCAAGCTATGACTTGATGGGGACCTAACTTCAGGTCCCTTCCGCTGGTTGTTGGGAAAACTGAAAACAAAAAACAAAAGACAAAAACACAGAAAACCGAAGCGTCCGTGTTTTTCCCCCTTTTTTTTCACGCGACTCTTGCAGCCAAAGCCTCTCCGGGGAGAGGCCTCTTAACCTGGCAACAGACCGATGTCCCGATGTCCCCATGTCCCGATGTCATGCAACGAGCTTGCCGGTGCGATTTCAGGGGGCTGGGGGGGAGGGAGGAGGGGGGGCCCAAATAAGCCCTAAAGCCTTATTAAGGGCTGAATAAGGGCTTATTTGGGCTCCCGGACCCTCCCCTCCCTCCCCCCCAGCCCCCATGACGATTGGCAGGGAATGAGAGAATGAGCCTTATAAACCATCCCCTCCCGGTTTCCTTTGCGGGGACCCGGGTTCAGAGGCGGTTTCAGAGGTGAAGTGGAAAAACTCGCCGCTGGGCGAATTTGGTGGCATACAACTGGCACCAAGAAAGGAAGGGCGGCAGAAAGTCGCGTTCAGCTGATTTAGATGCTGGGCAAGCTACCATAATTGTCCAAGCGAAAATAAGGAATCGCTCATCGTGCCCACAAATTCCTGTCACCCGTCTGAGAACAAAGCAAATCATCTCAGACATGAAGTGAAGTATGGCCCTGATTGAGGCTCCCCATCCCTTGCTGGTGCTCAGCAGGGAATGAGAAATGGAATGACGCCAAAAAATAACATCCAACCGATCTGGTATCCTTTATTCGGGGGAAAGCCGAAAAGGATAGCTGAAAAAAGAAGAGCCCAAGAAAAGCTAAGGGAAAAAATAAAAGAAAAGGAAACTTCACGGTAAACCAAAGAAAGCCCTCAGGGAACACCCCCTCCCCTCTAAATCCCTCCCCATCCCTCCCCATCCCCTCCCCATCCCCTCCCCATCCCCTCCCCATCCCTCTCCCCTCCCTCTCCCCTCCCCCTCCTCCCTCCCTCCCTCCCCCTTTCAACGGAACTTCTGAATTGCCTTCCACAGCTGCTGTTTCTTTAACCCATCCCAGAAATTAAGCCAATTAAGCGAAGTCTAGCCCTGAAGGGACCAACCACCAACCCCTCCCCATCTCGGTTGCTTTCTGCTCCCCTGCTAAAAGTGAATAACTTTTAGCGGTTCAATACGGAAAACCCGTTAGTTGGCAAAAAGTTGTTCAGCCAAACATCCAAGCAAAACGCACCAAGCCCCTGTTCCAAAGACCCGCTTTCTTCGAGTTTTGGCATGTTTAGAGAAACCTGGCTCATGGTAAATACCTCCAACATGATCCCAAGCGCACCACAGCTTAGAGTCTCTGGCATTTTTAGAGACCTGGCTCATGGTAAATACCTCTACAGCCATGGCTCCAACGCGCCTCTCCGGCGCCAGCTCCGCCACCGCCTCCGCGTCCTTCGCCCGCTCCGCCGCCGCCTGCCGCGCCGCGGCGATGGCCATGCGCCCCGCGCGCTGCGCGGCGGGCGCCGGCATCTCCGCCAGCAGCTCCTGGGGCTGAGGGATCCACTTTTGGGGCCCGCGCTTCCGGCCTTCCCCTGGAAAACATGAGAAAACACACATGCCCAGTGATGGATTCCCTGAAAAAAGCCAAGGGAACAGAACACAAAGACTCAGCAAGCGGAAGGAAGCTGTGCAATAGTGTGGATGGTTGCGACATCCATTTCGCACCACCTAACAAACCCACTGGGATGATCATTCCCTGTAAATACCAGCAAATAGTGTTTGTTTGAATGGTATCAAAGTGGTGCAGGAGTTTTGTCCATCCACAGTAGGACAGGTTTATATGTGGGGTCAACATTGCAAGTGACTGGTTTGCTGGGATCCACGTTTGTCTGCACCTGGATCGCCAGTTGCGATCGTTTTTTTCCATGCACTTCACCCCAAACACCAGCAACGGTGACTGCAAAAAGCGGCAACTTGGCTATCTAGGCCGGCATGAACATGGCCGACCCAGAACCACGCTTCCAGAACTAAGAAGACAGGTCGCAACCTATGTACTCACTTGCTGAGTGGATGGCCCAAAAAAAGTCCAAACTTTATATTTACCACTAAAATGGTCCAACCCCAAAAAGTTTAAAGTTCATGAACTCAGGAAGTGAGTTTACGGTTGGGATTGTCCCTTACTAACCTTCTACCGGCCCAGCCGAGGCCTCCAGTTGGAGAAATTATTCCTGGGGGGAGGTGGGGAACCCAAAATCTGGCTGTTGGCTGTTGGGGGGGAAGCGGTTCCGGTTTGCTTGGGGGTTAAAAAGGAAAACCGCACTTATGCCTTAAAAAATCAACACACACACACACACACTGGTATGTGGGTCTCTCTGGGACTGCTCGGAGGTGCATTTCTCGACAAGCTCGTCCTTTTTGAGGACGTGTTTACCCCCAAAAAATGGCGGTTGGTCCTCTTGGTTTTGCCTTAAACTTTAAGCCACTGAAGCCATCAAGGTGCCTTGGGCATTTTTTCTTTGGAGCTGCCCCTTTCTGGCTAATTTTCCAAGAGGGAACCAAGAGGCCAACTCTCACTTTGGGGGGTGCAAATCCAGAAGACACATCCAGAATGTTGAAGAAATGAGCCCCCAAGGGAAGGCAAAACCTTCAGCCAGATGTGCAACTCCGGCAAAAAAGAACACAACCGCCAAGCCAGCCCCTCCAGCGACATGGGTGTGTCCCCCCAAAATGGCGCAAGCTCTTCTTTTTGGTCTCCGCCACAAAACCGGGTACCGACTCCACCCACATGGCGTACGCACGGAGAAAAAAACATCTGGCGTCCCTGTCAACACCAAACAAATGAGCGTGTTCAACTTCTGGTGTCCCTTTCCCACCCCCCCAAAAAAAAGCAGGGGGGAGGAGTAGGTGTTGGCACCAACTCCCTTTCAGAGGGGGTTCCCCAAAACGTTTTAGGACTTTCGATCACATGGGGGTCAAGGGATTCTTGCACGATTTCTTGGAAAACGGAAAACCTCCGGCAAGATGTAAGTCGACCGTAAAGCTCACATCTGTCAACACCCCCCCCCCCAAAAAAAAAAAAAACAAAACAAAATCCGACGCCGCAGAAGCCTGCGGCCTCCGCCCACGTCCACGTGGCCCGCCCGCCCGCCGGCCTGCGGGGGCGTGAGCTGCAGCGCCCCAAGCAGCGCCGCGGCCTCCCCGGCGCAGGGCCGGGCCTCCGGGGCCTGGCAGCGAGCGAGCGGGCAGCTTCTTCTGGTTCTCTTCTGGCTGTCATTTTTAGAACTCCACCCCAAAAAAGGGGGGGAGGGGGGCACCCCAAAAGTTTCGGTGTGTCTTTCAAGGCTTTCAGCTGAGAATCTCTGTTTCATGGTGTTCCCCTTGGTTTTAAAGGGAAACGAGTTCACTACTTTCAACATTTTCCTGGTGAAGTGGTTGTGAACAAACCCTCGAAGACCATGACTCTCCAACAGTATTTTGAGAATTGCCTCTGTTTCACGTACGATCCTTATGGCCGAGTTTAGAACTCCACCCCAAAAGAAGGGGGGGCAGCCCAAAAGTTTGGGTGCGTCTTCCAAAGTCTTGGCAACTTCTGGAAAGAAAGGGCCACCGCCCGGCCACGCCTCAGCCAGCAGCCAGTGCAGCAGCAGCCAAAGCCGCGCCACCTGCGCATCTGCCAGCCTCGGCTCGGGCTTGGCAGGGTTAGGTCGGCTGGTGGGCAGTTGGTTGGCCCCTTTCATGTTCCCTAAGGTTCCCTAAGGTTCCCTAAGGTTCCCTAAGGTTCCCTAAGGTTCCCTAAGGTTCCCTAAGGTTCCCTAAGGTTCCCTAAGGTTCCCTAAGGTTCCCTAAGGTTCCCTAAGGTTCCCTAAGGTTCCCTAAGGTTCCCTAAGGTTCCCTAGAAAGTCTTTCCGCCCATCCCACACCCCAAAAAGAGAAGAAGAAGCACACACGCCTTACTTGGATGTTCGAAAAGCGCCAAGTTAGTTTGTGGCAAAACACCTGGGTCATAACCCACCAACAAGGCTAAGTCTACTTGGGACTTGTGATAGGGTTAGAACCTACGTGACCAACAACTTACTAACTTGGCCGAACACCCAAGCAGGGATGGGGATGGAATTTTCTGTGGATGGGCATCGGCACCAGTCGTCCCAGTATTCATAGGGTGTCCTCGTCGATCACAACTGGTGCAGGAGGTGTCCACTTGCACAATCCTCCCCCGAAAGGAGGTCCCTGCTACAAGTCGAAGTATTTTAGGTACCATGACCCCCATCTACAATAGATGATGCGCGAGTTTACGCTGGTCAGCCGTTCAGCACCTGGCCAAGCCTGAAAAAAACCTCGACACGGCCAGGTCCATCTGCTCAGCTTTCCTCCAGCTGGCGGTTTGGAGCCGACGGAAATTTCCGAATTTCTTTCTCCAGAAGGCGGCTTCAAATCCAAATCCCAAATCCCAAATCCAAGTCCTCAAATCCCCAGCTAAAAGTTGAGAACTTTTCGTGGTGTCAATACGGAAATCCAACCAAAACACGAACTGGATCTAAAATGTCTAAGGAACCGGATGGGCTTGTGGGAAGTTGAAAAGCCCAACTCTCGCTGCTGCTTTGGAGTCTGCTTTTTGGGGTTGGCGTTCAATCCAGGGCTGGGAACCGAGAAATCCCAAGCCACCGATCTGAAATCAAACCATTTCTCTCAGTCCAGCGCCGCTGCGGCGGCAGCGCTAGAGCATCCCCTCGGCGCCCGAGCTATGAGAATGCCAGGAAGCAGAAGCAGATCCTGGATTCTAAGTAGCTGCTTAGGGATTCTTGCCTGGAAGAACCAACAATGAAGAATTGCTTTTTGCCACAGAGTAGTGCCGCAGAGTCCCTTTGATCCTGGAATTCTGGTTGCATCAGCTCCTTGGAATTTCCCACGGCGTTCGGAACAGCAAATGCGCGACCACCGGCCCTTCCGGCGCCTCGGCGCCTTTCAGCGCGCGATTCCGATTCCCCGCAGCTACGCCCCACGCCGCCCCAGAAGTGAGAAGCAAGAACCCACCAGCTCCACTGAAAGCTCCAGGTCCGCCGGGTCCAAAGGGTCCCTCACGAAATTCCAATCCGACTCAAGATCGGGAATCCCGAGCCTGGCCAGGTTGGCTCCGGTTTTTGGGAGTCGGCACCTTTCCTTCCGTTGGATGCTGGTTTCAAGACCAAAGAAGAACCAGGCCACTTTGTTTTCGCGGGGGTCACTTGGATTTCCCCTTCACAGGTTGCAATTTACTGGTGGCGTCCCTGGAAGCGATCGCCACTTGCGGAGGATCTAAAAAGGGGACATGGCTCCGAAACTGGCTGCTTCACATTTGTTTTTTGGGGCGGCAGCTCTGAAGGGAAATGGGCCCGGAAACCCCCGTTGCTGTTGCTTTTGCTTCGGGGGGTCGTCCCTACTGCGGATGGTCGAAATCCTGCACCACCAGAGGCCCTGGAATGATCATACCCCTGTAAATTCCAGCAAATCATGGTTTCAACCATGTTGTCCAAGTGGTGCGGTTCTGAAATTTTCGCGTTGCCATCCACAGCTTGGGTTGCCATCCACCACCGCCGCCTGCGGGGCCCTTGGGCCCCGCTTTGGGGCCCCGCGCCCGAAGGCCGGGCAGACAGCAGGAAGCCAAGGAAGGCCCCCAGAAGCCACACGTCCGCCTGCCCCGCTCCGCTTCCACGCGCCGGCGACACGGGGCTGGGGGCTGGGTTTGTGGCGCCTGGGGGGTTGGTTTGCGCGGCTGGGTGTTCAAAGGGTTGGGTGGCAGCACATTCTTTGCCGGAAAAGCAGCGTATTTAGGGTCCATTTATGCGGATGTTCCTGGAACCAAACCTTGTGACCTGTCCGTGTCTTGGCCCAAAAGCAGGATGCTTCAAGCAAATTCGGTGCTCCAAAGCGGGCTTAGATCACCAATCCCTGCTCATTTGCAATCCGTCCAACACAAAGCAGCCAAATAGGCAACTGGGTAAACAATATGTGCCATGGGTAGAGGGGGAAAATAGCAAGCTGCAGATTGACCAATCCCACCGGGCAAGCAAGGCTGCTTACCTTTCCAACTATGGCTATGGTTCTAGGTGTTGATTCCCCATTCTTTTCAACCATCGTTCCTTTCAACAACCGGATCTGTTTCCCCTGGGGTTCTGACGGTGTTCTGGAAAGATTCGGATCCCTGGAAAGAATGGAGACGTGTCCCCTATGGTAGCAAACCACCGACTTTTGGTTTGCAGCCCTCACAGACCAAGCAATATTTCTCACGCCTCAGGCTTCAGCGCATCATCCGTGCCTGGAGTCACCGGCTCTGGCTGTCCCCTTTCTCTGGGGGTCCTTCCCAGCGGCATAGCTTCGAATGGAACAGCTTGCGTTGACGGAAAACCATACCGCAAACAAATCGACTAAAGACTCGCAAAAGCCATGTGAATTGATTGCAGAAGGCATACCTTCCTTCGAAAAGCCATGCGATCCTTCCGACAGGTTGTGTAGACTGATGCCGACAGATAGTCCGTGGGATGCACCAAAGGATATATTTGTTTCTGGATGTCTTCCCATACCTCCAAGACAAATCGACCATAACCCATACAGCTGGCCAATTCAGTCGGAAACCCGGACATGAGCAGTGGCTAATATTCATCTTCCCAACTGGCAATCGAACAATGGGTGAGCAAACCAGGAGGAGTCCCTGTTTCAATTCCAATGGTCAAGCCGAATGAGTGGAACAAAGCTTGCTGTTCTGATCTGTGCGCCTCGTGTCATCAAGGGTCAGCTTAAAATTGCAGCCATCCACCTCACGGGTGCATCTACCATCGTTCAATTCCATGATGAATTCCATATTCAATCTCCGTGGTTGGCGGTGCCCCCCCCACTCTCCCAACTCATTGACTCCGTTGACTCCCAGTGAACTCCATTTGCTTAAGCCCCCTGTCAAAAATTAAAAAAAAATATGTCCAGTGGTGATAGATTCACTTTAAAACCAACAAGGGAAATATGGGATATTCTTGAGCAAATGAGTTAACTCCCACCAAACTACGATGTCATTACAGAACCTCCCCATTTAAAAGCAAATGTGGATACCCCAGCTCCGAAACGGCTCCCTTCCAACCACCGGCTAGTAAACCCCAAATATAAACCCCCCGGTTGTTCAATCCTCGTCACTCGGTTTAGCGAAATTCAGATCATGCCACTTCCAGACATCTCCGAGCCCCGCACTGCTGCGCGCCTGCCCGGTGGGCGAAGGGCCGAAAAGGTGTTCACGGGAGAGATGGGCTGGGACCATAGTCAAGGAACGGCAGACTAACGTGGATCCCAGCAAACCAGTCACTTGCAATCTTGACCCCACATATAAACCTGTACTAGTACTAGGGAAGCGCGGGCCCCTGCAAAACTGACGGATCCCCGCTAAACCCAGCTGGGCAGGACCCGGCAGGGGTTTATCCATCCGCTCCTGTTGCAAGATACCCCTTCTTGGGCCCGTCCGGGAAAATTTGCGGGGAAATTTGAGGGAATGATAGCCTTGTCAAACCAAGCCCATCCAGAACTTGGGATTGCGAGAATGTGGTGACCACATATGGTTCTAAGGAACTTTTGGCACCATTAGAGGATCCATTTTTGTGGTTGGAAGAGCTATTCTCATATTCTCATATCGAACAAGCAAAAAGAGCCATCGCTTAGGGATCTTCGAGGGCCTCTCAACACCATGTTGGCTCCCTCATTTGCGCTCACGATTTCAAATGCGGAATGGTGCATCCCTAATGAACAGCCTCTTGATGTCTGCCCAATAGCACTGGTTTGTTCTTTGGCTTCTTCTTATGATGATCCTCTCAGCTTTTGCTCAACCCGAAACGGGTGAGTCAAATGGCTGTGTTTTAGGAACCTTCTTTGGTGGGTTTAAAGGGAACCAACGTCAAAATCACCAATGTGGGGGTTGCCCTATATTTTAAGACACACCCACAAATCAAGACCTATGAGCAAAAAAAGGCCACGCAAAGACCATGGCGAAGAATGGCACCATTGGGGCAAGGGGACTGCTAGAAAATTCAGGCCTCAACCCGACTCCGTTTTGATCCAGCTACCTTTCCAACATACCCCCTACTCCAACTACCCGTGCTTTTAGGGTCTGTTGTCAAACCCTGACAAAAAAAAGAGAGACATGGTCGCTTCTTCCAAAAACATCTTGGCAGGGTAGCATCGCCAACCAAGGGCAAATCACGCAACAGAAGGAAAGGCAGTTGCCACCGTCCACCGAGTCCGCCTTGAAATGTCGAACTCGGAAGCCTTGGTGTGATGCAAGAAACTCACCTTGGTCCGAACACAACAATAGGATATGTGTCAACAAATATGCGAACCTTCAGATGGACTGGTGTCCAATCACATGAATCAATGACCCGCCTCAGGGATTAGCCCAAAAAACATGTTGTTTGTGTCCCCCAAAATGGCCGGCTTTTTGTGAAAAGAACACACCGTGTCAGGTAGAGAATGCAATTGGCAGCCCTCATTTTTGGGGGATCCACCAAACATGGTGCCAATCAGCAACCACCACAGTTGCTGGAATGGATCAGCATTAGGTTGAATCACAACCCCGAACTTTGAGTTAGAGCCTCCCAACCTGTTTTGTTGAAGCCGACCCCCTTTCCCCCACCCACCCACCCCTGGCCCCCCCCCCCCCACCCACCCCCATCCCCCTCCCCCCACCCCCCAAGCTTCCCGCCTCCGGCGGCGTCGACATTTCGCCCTCCCTCCGCTCCAGCCACTCGGAGGCGGCGACCGGCAGCAGCGCGCAGCGGCCGAAGGAGCCCAACTTCCACAGGCCGTCGCCGCCTTCGCCGAAGCTGAAGCTTCGGAAGCTCGGGCTGAGGAGCCAAGACTTCCATCCGCGTTTTCGCCCGGAGAAAAATGAGATAATATGGCCACTAGTGAAATCGATTCCCTTGAAAACCAACAAGGGAAACTAGATTGTTTTTTCCAAAAAAACAACTATATATATATATGTACATATTTCTATTAAGCAAATCGAAGAAGAGCGCCTTACCTTGGTTTGTCTTGGTGTTCAAAGGGTGGTTCCCTAAGAAACCAGCTCAATGAACTGGCGATTATTGTCCCTCGGGGGGATCCCTGCAGCTCAGCAGCGATTGTTTGTTCTTTTTCTGAACGTCATGTCAGCGGCATAGGTGTCCTTTTAAGGGAAATAGATGGCCCTGGTAGATGATTAAACCACCGGGTAAACCAGGGCCATCTATTGTTCAATCAAATCAACCAAAAAGGACACCTACGGTCAGGAGCTAAAGCATCCACAATTTCCACACGCCAACTCCGCCCAGCGTGACCTCAAAAAAGAATGGTGGCTTCATTTGGTCTGGTGGGAAACTCACTTGCCTGAAGGATCCCGAAAAACAAGGTTCACCTTTGAGGTCATGACTAAAACTGGACCAGAGCGGGAAAACAGCAAGGTCAGATCCGGTCGATTCGCCTCGGTTGCAACTGAGGCAAGGCTTCCTGTCTTAACAGGGATCCTTACATTATACACCTGAACTGGCTTCCCTTTATTTCGGTGTTGAAAACGCCAGATGTTTCAAATGGATGGGCAAAATGGATATATCCTTTAAGTAGCCTTGTTTGAGTTGGTACCCTTTTGGGGAGGTGGTTTTAAAGGGAAGTTTAGGGAAATCGGTATTGACATCATCTTTTAAGGAGACCTTTTAAGGAGCCCCGCTGAACCGCCGAAAAGTTTTTGTAGGGCCAACGGCCAACCCCTCCGGCCCATCCACTTCCCCCCGGAGCGAGCGAGCGCGCATGAGCCTCGCAGCACGCCGGCGGCGTCAAAGCCCCCGTACCTGGGCGGGTTTGTAACCAGCTCTGGCGGATTTGCAACCTCGCAAGAACCTCAGGGTTTGCTCACAGCAAAGAGAGAGATGGAGTTTGACATCTGATTCAGAAATTTCTCAAATTTCTGAATCAGGGGTCTCTGTGGAAGAAAGGATTCGGCACCCACCAAAAAGGCCCCGATTCATAGGTGGGGGGGGGGTTATCAATCAGGCTGGTCAGCATCATGTGCATGTCAGAAATTCGGACTCGGTGCCCCCCAAATGTGGTCGTTTTGTTGTGGTTTCCCTTAGCAACCCCAATTTGTTGGGGGTAATCTAAAAAGAACACAACCCCATTTGAAGGAACGAATACACCTCAAATTTAAGTAAACACGAAAAAGCCAAGTGGAAGCCCCTAGGACTTAGGTTTTCACGTTTGGGAAGTTTCAAATGGCCTGGGAGGGTCGTGCTTTCAAGAATTGGCCGTAGGTTGAGGAGTAAGAAGCACCTCACCTAGGTGGGGTTAAGCTGCCCAGTGAATCCATTTACCTAGTAAGGGCAGGCAACCAACGGAACCCTTCAAAAACCAAGAGGAAAATCGCTGGTTACCAATTCAATAGCGGCTTGTTCTGGGATCTGGGCTGGACGCAGGCTTCATGGATTTGGGGGTCGGGTTCTTCGGAAAAACTGCCCACCAACACCGCCAGGCCGGTGCTGGCACGCGCCAAAGCCCAAGGCCGGGTTGACCTTTCCGGGTTTCGGCGCATGCGGCGAAAAACAAGAAGAACACCACCGACATAAGCCGCTTCCCCACGGGGTGTGCCTGTGATGGTAAATTGTTTGGGGTTGGCTTAAACGAAACCCAACACATGTTGGCGGTCACACAAAAAAAAGGGACACACACCCAGGTCCAAGGGCGAGCCTTGGGTAGACAACTAAAGGGCGAAAATAAGTGGGATGTAGCCTCCGTGCCTCTAGAACCCACACTGAAAATGCCAACGCGGTCGCTTTGCCCTCCGACTTTCTTTTGACCAGAAGGCACGGGACAGTCCATAAATGGGGGGCGTGCCTAAGTCCATAGCTCTCAAGTTTGATTCGAGTTGATTGCATAGCTCTAAACCCATGTGAGACCTTCGGCTGGCAGAAACCCTTAGCTATGTGTCTTCGTCCCCCCTCCAAGGAAAAAAATAAAAGGAAGAATCACACAACAGCATTTTGGAGGCCCAACGCAAGCTGCAGCCAAGGTCAGAAGCCGCCTATGGAAGCCCCCAACAGAAGTCATAAACCAGAGACCGAGCACCAAACCAAAACCTACAGAAACACGAGCAAAAAAAAGTTGGCAAAGCAACCATACCCGTAGAAAGTGATCAACAAACAAATGCAAACATCTAAAACAACACCCCTAAAGCCAATTCGCCTCCACCCATCAACCCCTTCGGGTGGGTCACAAGATGCCGTGGCTGTGCAGATGCCCCAGCCCGAAAGCCAGCTGCTGACCCACGTCAGACGCCTCGCGGACCGCCAGGCCACCTCGAACAACGCAGCGAGCCAGGTGCTTCGACGCAATGTGTTGGGGGCCCGAGAAACCTGACCCGAAGCAGTTGGGCGGCCAGATTTTGGACTCAAAATTGTGGCTTTCCTCCTTAAAGACAGCAATCGAGCCCTCGAAAATCGACTTCCCCTTCCATTCCATTTGCGCGGCTCGTCCCTTAATAGGACTCGGACCTCACAAGATCGAGGTGTTCCTCGTGGTGTCGCATTGAAACCATAAAAAGAGGGAACCCTCGAAAAAGGGCACCCATTTGCATTCCGCGTCCCCAGAAATACATCTGTCCAGCACCCATTCCCTCGCAAGCCAACAATGAATATTCTTCCCGAAGATATCAGAAATGTCCCTCCAAGACTTTGGACGTCGTTGCACCCCGCCCCCCTCTCCGGAAAAAACATCGCCACAAAATTTGGCCATTGGAAAGAGAATGACATTGGACGCCATGGGTGTCAAAATGGGGGACCCAAACAGTGGCGGTTACCCGTGTGGTTTCCCTTGAAACCAACCCTTAATAACACACACCAGCATTTTACGCTGCTACCATTGGGAAATGGGGGGGGGGGTTCCATTGACAATTTCGGGAGAAAAGGAGGTCACTCACCAAACTGCCAATGAGGCTGCACTTTGTGAACAAGATTGCTTCGATGGCTCGGGAGGAATCACGTGGCTAGCTTTGCAGCCACTTTACCTCCAGTTTACCCTTTGTACATCCCAGAAACTAGCTCCCAAACCCTCTGAGTGCGCATGTGCATGTTTAGCGTTGTACATCCTAGTAGGGTTCCTAAGCATTTAGCTAATTCCTAACCCCGCCAAGTATGCAGGTGTTACAGTTTCACTTGAAAGGGACAATCCAGTAGTATTAGACGTAAAGCCCGACTGATATCACAAATGCCACTACAGGTGTATCGCTTTTGGAGGTGTATGCCATAACAGGTGATCCCAAACCGCATCCCCTAAAAAGCACCACCAAAGCGGGCAAGACGTCGCCGAAATGGGACAAGGCAAGGAAAAGGTCACATGAGCAGTCCATCTTCGGTTGTGTCTTGTTTGAGGGTCTTTTTTTCGTTGGCACGAATCATGCAACCTGAGCTACCTTGGTTGCTTTCTGCTCCCCTGCTCAAAGTTTAACTTTTGGTGCTTTATTGGAAAACCCATTAGTTGGCATCTGAGGTGCTGACCCGCAATGTGAGCTGCCAGATCAGTGACGCAAGGCTCACACAGCAGGAGCTGGGAGTGCATGGTGCCTCTGGCGTGCGACGACTTTTTGCCCTTCCGCGACGGACGGGAACGCGATGCCTCCGTGTGCATTCGTCTCCTGGAAAAACGGAATATGTGCCTACAGGGGCAGGGGAGTACAATAAATACTCTTAAGCAATTGCAAGGTTGCCAGGGTGGTACAAACCCTGTGGTTCAAGCATTCCAACCACTTTTAGATTGAAGTACTTCACCACCATCATCCTGAACAGATTTACGCCCTTAAGTCGGATCGGTGTCTCGCACATCTTTTTCCCTGAAGGTTTTCCCAACATGTGAATCGATCCGAACGATTTTTCTCCAAGGTTGACTTGCCCTCAGGTCCACGCAAGATCAATTCAGTTGCTCCGGTGCATGTAGTCCACCGCTCCCACCGAAAACAAATGAGCTGCCTAAAAGGCTTGAGCATGCCAGGAGCATGCCAGGCACACGTTTCTACGGAAAAGATCTCGAGTCCTGTCCCGGCCGCTGGGATCAAAGATCTTCGCTAACGGCCCGCCTGTCAGATCACCCGAGTGGGAGGCACCCACTCGGAAAGCAAAGAGTACCAAGCCGAGGGAAGAACAAATCAATCCATCTCCTAGAGAATAACTGATTTGCAATATGTCTGATGTCCTCAAAATGATTTCTGATACTGATGCTAGTGGACGATCAAGGATCACAGGATGTTTTCCTTGGGGGTCTTTTGTGAGGGGGCAAAGAAGCCTCCGACTTGGAAGTAGCAAGGGTCTACTTAAGCATTCCCCACTTGACAAGCGACCAATATGGCTTGGCCCTGTGCCTCTGTATCCCAAAAATAAGATAGAGGCTGCATGTGCCCGCTAGTAAGGTGATGCAGTGATGCTCACTACCCCCAAACCTCTACCAGAGCTTCATGGGATGCAAATAAAAGCCGCATAAGTTGGGGGGGTAGTGGTGTTGGGGTGGTGGCAATCAAATGGATTTCTGTGCTAAAGTGAAATTCCCATAGGATAAAGCAACCTCCTTGGAGACTCGCTTATCACATGAAGTGGGTTTCCATAGGATCGGAGGCGAAGATAACTGTTGCCTTGCCGAGATGTTTTTTCACTCGCAAAGTCAAAGGCTCGCCATTTCAAGCACGACCTAAAACCTCAAAGATGGGAGAAACGGTGCATGAGCCATGGCGGGTTTCTTGGGATCACAGGAAACCGGCCTAAAAACCTGGCCGTCTTTTTCTCTGTGGCTGTGGGTCAAAACCCCAGGAAACCCCTGGTGAACATCAACATAGGTTGCAAATGGATGTGAACATCCACCCCAAAATGGGATCGCCATAGGTTACGCCCCATGGCCATTTTTCGATGTGTGGCCCCTTAGATCAATGCGGAGATGCCCTTCACAGGCCCACTCGAGATTCGGCGCAAGCTAAGCTTAGCAAATCACTGGGGCGAGGACTTGAATCCACGCTGAAAAACCCCGGATTTATCTTGAACGTCAGGAAGCAGTCTCGAAAGAAAAGAGGAAAACTCCGCTGGCAACCAAGGTGATGGTTGCAACTCCCCGATCGAGTTTGCAACCCCTCCAGTTGGAATCTCCGCATTGATCTAAGGGTCACACAGAAAAGGACGAGAACAACTTTAGGTCGGTGTTCTGCCCCGAGAACACCTCCAACCCGCCCAAGCTCCCGGCTGGCTCCGGGGATTCGAAGACGCCAAAAAAAACCACTTGAGCGCCCTGTGAAAGCCCGTTCGCTGGCGGGCTAGGATCCAAGATGGTAAAGGTGTATATATATATATATATATATATATATATCGGCCGAGAAAAATTCCAAGGAAACCAGGGAACCGAACCCTAAATTGGGTGTGTCCTGATTTAGAGGAGACCCGCAAACGGGAGGGTGGTCCTTTCCTGAAAAGCCACAAAAATAGGGGGCGTCCTCGAAAAAAAACAGACCCAATTTGGAGCTTGCGGGAAGGAGCTCCTTCCGTTTGCTTAAGCCGCCTGGAGACCGGTAGTTTGTTTGATTCCCTTCAAAACCAACCAGGAGAAAAACAAAAACATCCTGAGCCAATGGAAGGCTCTGGGCGCGGAAAAAATCGAAGCCGCCCCGAAAGCTCCCAGGGCCCAGACCTTCATTCTGCACGAGGACACCGTGGCAGCGGACTACATTTGGGTGTCGGCCTCGCATGGCCATGGGTCAAAACCAACGGGATCCCGTTTTGGGGTAGGCGAATGCACCACCCATTTTAGTCCATTTTAGCGGGGATTGAGATGTTCACTGGGGGTACGGGCTTTTGACCATGTGGGTATGGGTCAAAATGAAACCAGGAGATGGACCGCAGGTTTTAGTCTTTCCATTTATCAGGGCAACCCTTTGACCCACAGCGGACAAGAGTCAGTGGAGGAGTCTTTGTTTCGGATTAAATGCATTCCCTAATGACAATTGGTGGCCCATGCTCCTTTTGTGAGGGTGCCGTTTTTTTCAACCCCAAGTCAACGCATCAGCCAATCATCGCGAAACGAAGCACCAAGTGCGAAGCAAGCAGGAAACAGACATGGGACCCTCAAAAGGCTGTTTTGTTTCCCTCCTCGAGGATAGACACTCATACTGTGGAGGGACGAAGTCCATTTCGCACCACATTGAAACCTCGGGTAAAAGCCATTGTTTGTTGGTACTTACGTTGGGGAGACGACCTTCCAGGGATTCTGAGCGGTGCGAAATGGATGTGGATTTCGCAACCATCGGTAGGTTCGACACCTTCCATCCACCGAGCTCCCAAGATGATGTCACAAAAGTGCCACCAGGACCCAAATTCCGCTGTTCCTGCCCTGGCTTGGTCATGTTGAGGGACTCGGATCTTGGCGCAAACCATCCCTGGCAAAAAGTGGAACTGTGAGTGGGATACGTGTCTGTCATTTTGTTAGAAAACCCCCACCCCCCCTCCCCAAAAAAAAACAGTCCTTTAGGTTTCTCCTTGAAACCACCAAAAAAGGGAACTTGGAACACAAAGGTGTGTGGGCTACATCTAGGCATACCCATAAACCACTTGGATAGTACATGGGGAATATTGATCATCTCCTACCGGATACTATGACGAAACCTCATATGTACCACAGACCAATGTTAGTACTAGCTTACTTGCTGGTTCTCAGCGGAACGAGGGAATAACCTCTATGAACAATTCTTTATGGTGCCCATTCAGGGGATCCCAATTCCCAAAGTGAACCAACAAATTCAACAGGGTCCCTTCAAGGATAGATGGCACCTACAAGTCGCCCGGCACATGGAGTAAACCCTTTGCAATAGCTACGGGGTGTTGAACAGTTGGCCAGGAGCCGTGAAGGGAAACCAAAAAGGAAAACGGTTGCGCCAGGTTTGGGGGTCTGATTGCTACATTACGACAAGCCCATGTATCTTTTAAGGAGCCCTGTTTGAACAGTTTTCCTTGGAGTTCTGGGGCTGGGACACCCATTCCCCCCAAGAACCCGGAAATGGCTCAAATTCCAGCTCCCACCAATCCAAACCGCCTATGGCCGCTCTGGTCATGGTTCCCTTTACGGGAAAGATTCTACGCCTCGCGCGTTCCAGGTCATGGTCTGCCGCTGAAGGCACTTAACCTGAGACTCAACCGTAAAAATATGTGTGCATCGATCAACGGATTGAGTTCACAAGAAGCAACCCACTTCACATCTCCGTCTTTTTGGCCTCAGTGAAAACCGCTGTCCAATTAAAACACCCAAAACCACAAAGGGCACAGTGCTCCATTTTTGTTTTGGAACAGCGGTATTTTACTCTCCATTGTCTTATTGTTGGGGGGTCCATCCCTTTAGGAAGGCCTCCCGGCGCCTTGCATGTTTGATTCATGAGGAAACATTGCAATGACTATTAAGGATCACTACGAGGTGAGAAAAAACTCCATCCCTGGCAAAAATAATCCCCAAGTCAAGGAACCTGTTGTCTTTCCACCATGGCACACAGGTATCCTTTTCGCAGAACCTGCGGTTTTTTCGTGGCCGCCCTTTAAGGCGCGTCGCTTTTTGCGGCCCTAAAAACCGCGAAGGAGTCGCCCGCCTGCGCGCTGGGCGAAATCCACCTCGCGCTGCACCGCCTCTAAGGCCTGCGGAGTATAGAGATCTCTCCGTCCGCTCGATGTGTGTCTAGGTCTTGCCAGTAGAGTGGTTAGAATAAGGGTACCCCAGGGCCAGGTGTTGTGTTTGTGTGGTGTTTTGCTTCTGGGGAACCCCCTCGTGAGCTTGTCTAAGGAAACCAAAACTAGGTCCTCCAGATTTGAGAGGTTAGAATCAGGGTACCGTTTCTTTGTTCTGTAGTCTATGTTACTAGGGGGCACCAACTTTTTGCAGTTTTGTCTGTTGTAGAAGGGGGACCCTCCCAACCGAAAAAGGGGTGAGAGGTCGGGCACTACTGGGCCAGGGGGACTTAGGTGTGGCGGGGACACATCGCAGGGACCCCCGAAAGAACCGGTCTTCTGGAACCTCCAAAAGCGGCGATCAGCTCAATGGAAACCACCGGTAAAGCCCTTCCGAGCCATTTCCCTTTCAAGGGAAACTGGAGGGGCAATCCAGCGAGCCCTGTTAACAAGGGGCTCGTCATTTTCTGGAGTTGGTACCCGGTTTTGTTGGCTGGTTTGAAGGACCGAGTTCCAAAAAAAGGCGAGCCACCCATGTGGCAACCCAATGTTCTGGGGTGATTGCCCCCATTTCGACGGGTTGAGGGGCCAGGTATCCATTTTCCGCATGCAGGGGACCGGGCCCCGAAGGGTGGCGCAACCCGTTGGGGGCCCTACCTTGGATTATTTACCAATACCGTGTCTCAACTGATGTTGACCCAGGATTAATAAACCCGTCCCATTATCAGGGGGGTGTTCCCTCCAAAAGTGGTCTGAATCCCCACCAAAGGGGACAACCCCCTATAAAATCAACCAGGGGCTTATTAATCTGGGGTTAACATTATCCGCGGGGTAGGGGGTCTACATTTGCCATGTTCTTTCCAATCGACCGTTCAGTTTTTGACCAGCCCATTTTACCTTTGCGCCTTTTGGGCAACCCACAAACCGGCGGAGTCGAAAAGACGAACGAGACCCGTTCCCGAAAGATTGCAACTCAGGTTTGCGCAGAGTTTTTTGGAGAAGAATTGCATACCAGCTCATTTAGAGGAGCTGATGTAGTGAAATGTGAACTTGGGATGCATCTTTTGGGGAACCCAGCGAATTTTAACTGGGGACCCTTTGATTTAAAAAAATATTTAAAAAAAAAAAAAAAAAAAAAAAAAAAAAAAAAAAAAAAAAAAAAAAAAAAAAAAAAAAAAAAAAAAAAAAAAAAAAAAAAAAAAAAAAAAAAAAACATCCTTTAGGTGTGGACTTATGTCCAGACCGGATGCAAGAATAAAACCGTTGCGTGGCATGCCGGAGATCTTGCAGAGCTCTCAGCTTGCAAGTTTGAAAGCAAATGCTTCAGCGGTCACGCAGCAATCTGGGTGGGGATGCTTTACCATGTGCCTACAGAACTCTTGGTAGCCACTTAGCCTTCTCTTCTGGGCTGTCCTCAGATCCCCCGCTAAAGTTTCACTTTAAGTGGGTTCTATGGAAATCCCCACTAAACACTAAAAGGCTAAGAAGCTAAGGGGATGGCTGGGAACCACCAAGTTTTAGAGCAAATTTGGAGAACCCCAGCTCCGTCACGGCTCTTCCAACCACAAGTTTTTTGTCGTTGAAGTTGCAGTGGCGCTTGGCTGGGAGAGCTTTTTTCTCTGCTTGCGCTTTGTGGTTTATATCCAAAGGTCGGAAGGCGGATGAATTGGAGGACTGCCCCCTGCTTTGACAAATCCCCAGGTTCCCCGAACGACAAGCAGTTGGGATGTTCTTCCAAAAACACGATGCTTGCTCATCAAAGGGCACCACCCCCTTCTCGGGAAGCGAATCCCTTGTGAAGTGCCCGTTGCTTCCTCGTGTACAAAACATCCGCTTCCTCCGCAGGCGGTGTCCTTTTCCCCATTCCCATGGTCAGGGAGTCAAACCGCGTAACTCAGCCGGTTTTCAACTGCCAAAAAAAAACCTAGAGGTTCCCTCCATGTCACCCAGCAAGTTGCCCTTTACAACGGTGAGGAACCCCCAACCGCCGAAAGGAAAGTCGAAGTTCAGACCCGTGAGCCCGGAAGAATATCAACGCCCCCCTTTTGGCTGCCCTGTAAAACCACAACAACAAAAAGAGGGACCCTCCAGAAAATGGGGTACCTGGATCGCCAAGTCGCTGTTTTTCTTGCCAGGCCAAAAACTGTCACAGTGGCTGGTTGAAAAAGCAGCATCAACTGGTGATCCGGGCACCCTCGAAAAAAGACACTCCCAAACATGGGCGTCCTTTTTGTTCAGCCTTGAGACACAAAATTCTCCCGGGCCCAGGTAGACCTATCGGTTTCATCAATCTGTTCAACCAGAAGGACACCTCCTAGGTCCTCCAGTAGAGAGCTTAGAATAAGGGTACCAACTTTGTTTTCAGTCTTGTCTATTTTAGTAGGGTCCAGAACCCTCCCAACCAAAAAAGTTGGATGAGAGGTCGGGCACCCTTTAGCTGGGGGACCTACACACCCAGCCAAATGACCGCATCACCTGGCTCCAGCTCTTCCCGCGCGCCGCGCGCCTCCAGGGTCACCAAGCCGCCGCACCGCCGTGCGGGCGGCTGGGCGCTGAGTCTCCGGAGGTCGTACACAGCGCCTTCAAGGAGACCGTGGCATCTCATTGGGCTAGGGGGGGGTGGGGCTTGGGGGGTGGGTTGGGGTTGGGCGGGGCTTGGAGGGGAGGCCTTGGGGGGCTTGGGGGGCCTGAGGGGGGCCTGGGGGGGCTTGGGGGGCCCGGGGGGCGGGGGGAGGGGCGGGGCTTGGAGCACCATAGAGCTTGGAAAATCTCATTTGGGGCAACACAAGGGGCGAAATTAGTCGAGAAACGGGCTTGGGGTATGGACTAAAGTGAGTCATCGTGTCAGCATGGGATTCCTTTGGGAAACCCTGCAATGGACTCAAAGTGGTTTTGGGCTGAAAGTGAGGGGGGGGGGGGTTCTTGGCCCTCTAAAGCCATCCCAAGAAGGGAAAACCACGTCCAAAATGAGAACCACCAAAAAACATGCTTCAGTGTACCTTCTGGTGTCCTTTTAAAGACCTCACGAAAATACGACATTCAGACCCAATGGAAGCTGTTACATCTTTTGAACCCAAACCGGGAAAACACACACACACACACACACACACAACACACCAACACAACACACACACCCACACACACACTTGAACTCCAGATGGAGAGTGCTAATTTTTCGAGTACAACTGATGAGTCTCGAGTACAACTGACAAGTCTCGAGTAGGATAAGTTTCGACTCGCGAAGCACTCGGTTTCCCTCTAGAGGCGAAAACGTTACCAGAAAGAACAAGAAGCACAAACAGCGCCGCAACCAAGGGGGCCAAAAGGACATTCAGCAACATCACTTTACACATGCAGGTACGCTGGGATGATCAGTCCCAGTATCACCACCGATGGCAAGTGTCTTCGTTGGCAGGAGACTTGCCATGGTGCTCCTGCCCCCTGCTGCAACGGAAAAAGGTTTTGGTGGCAGGGTTTTCTGCCACTCCGCACACACACGCCCCTCTATGAGGGGCGAGGTTTCTCTTTTCCTGCAGGAAGATCACATGCTCCAACTCGACTCTCTATCGTTGACCAAAATATCCACCACGGCGAGGGGAGCGAGACACAGCCCTAAACCGCTCAGAAGACGGGAACGAGAGATCACCACGTTGAGCGTTGCGAGTGTCGCCATAGAGGACTGAAGCGATTTGCGAAGCAGCCTGGCGATCACCATGAGAAAACGGAGTGGCGTAGGTGAACGTCTCCTCAACTGGAACGGCATCGGAGTTCCGAACTTGACCAAGAGATTGATCATGCGGATAATGAGTTGCGAAGGACTCCATCCGAGACAGAATGCGCTGGTATCCTTGATGTTGCCAGTCACGGATGTCCCATGCCTGGACAGGCTCATTGGGATCAGTCACCCGCTGCCATTCCCGAAAAGAATTTTCAGGTAGATCAGGTACGGCGTCACCGCGGTGCCATCGTTGAGGCTGTCCTGGAGTGTATATCCGCACCCACTCCTGTTCCTGCCAGACCGAATATTCGAGCCATGGGTGCTGCTTCGAATCATCGATGTCCATGTCGAAGTGAGAGGCAAGGATTGTCGCGGGCTCCGATCCAGCTAATAGAGGAACAGGCACCATGCACAACCATGTTCAAACAACAACCAAGCAAGATCATGCAAGTGTAGAGACCACCCTTATTTTGTACGCTGCGCCACTCATGCGAGTCTAGTCCTCAGTCAGCTCGAAGATGGGACTCGCCTTGTCCCTGCCGCTGTCGGAAGGATTCACGGGCCGGTAGGGCTCGGAGACCCCAATCGTCTCCGATGGTGTGTTTCCACGCGATGCACGTACTGGTTGATGAGGTTGGGAAGCTTGACGTGCGCGAGCTGTCAGTTGTTGAGAAATCCCCTCCTGGAGACGAGTCAGTTCTTCGGTAGAGAAATCAGCCGCATCCGAGGACCTGAGAATCGCGTCTAACAGCTCCGGTGACATACTCAATGCCGCAGACTGCGTGGCCACGCTGTGATGATCAGGAAAATACATGGAATCAAATTCATGACCAGCGTGAGGGGCAGCGACTCTCCGATAGCCCTCTGTGGCCCAGTCTCGTTTGTACCACGTGGTGACTTGGACCTGCCCACCGACTGAGTCCTGGTTGGGAGCATAGAACTCCCTCCATTCTCTAAAAGTATGCGGAGGAGGTGGAGCATCATGTTCTTCATGTGGTGTCCATGGTCCCGGATGAAAGATCTTGACCCACTGGGCATCTGGTTGTTGAGGGTCCGGACACCATTCCAGCCACGCCATGACAACGCAACCACGGAAAGACAAATTGATAGGTGTACGGCTGCAGACAACAATGAGTGAAAGCGAAACAACTATCACAACGCAAAAGACCACTTTTGCAGCACTGCGCGGCTCCAGCATCGAAGACAATCTCCCGAATCGAATTGAACTGAACAGACTCCCCAGGAAGGCGAGGACGGGCATCAGCCATCATGTGAATTGGATGATGCCGAGGAGGAGGTCAATCCAGCATACATGAGGTCCGGTGCACCCGAAGCGAAAACTGGCCTCGCGATGCTGGGGCGTGGACGACCCAGACGTTGGTATCCCCTGGTGACCCAGTCCCTGTAATACCAAGTATAGAAGGTTGCATAGGATACCGGTTGCGAAACAGTGCCTGTGGTGGTGCCGCCCGTACTTTCCCTAGGCCAATACACTTCGAAGTGGTGGACCTTGCGCCATTCCCGATAGGTGGTTGAGTCATCCGGGGCCGGTCCCAGGGTGTTCGCGGCGACTGGATGCCACTGACCCGGTACATAGATCCGAATCCATTCCACACTCGTATTTGCTGGCCCATTGACGATGTCGTAGTCAAAATAGCGAGGTAGGACCCATCGTGCTGCACCATGCACTGTACTATTGAACATTTCAACCCGGCAAGCCGCTCAAAGTCATAAAGGAAAGCGGCGAACAAATAGAGACGGAATGTACACCACCAAGCAAGACAACCCAACGTGGACTCACATACAAAGCAAGCACAACCGCATCTTTATCCGACATGCTACTCAAGTGTCACTCCGAATCATTCCAAGGATCATGGAATGGTGGCGGCGACGGCTCCCGCCACGCCCCATCCGGTACCGATGAGCCCACCGAGGAATCGACGTCTGCATTCACGAGCATCGCGAATCCGATGGATTGTACAGGAGCTCCAAGTCGTTGATACCCTCGTGTTTGCCAGTCTCGGTACTCCCACACGTGGTAAGACACATAGGAACTGGGCGTGACTATGGGATCCGTTGTGGTGCCTCCGGTGCTGTCTTCAGACCAGTACACTTGGAAGTGATATGATCTGCGCCACTCCCGATACGTGGAAGCGTGGAGTGGGTCAGGAACTGGAGCATCATCGGGAACGGGTCTCCAAATGCCCGGAGAGTAAATTCGAATCCATTCCACTCCTCTATCGATCTGGTACTCGAAATACTGGGGGTTCATAGCGGCAAGACAGGCTCTCGCGCGACAGCTAAAACCAGTCGAAAGTCTGCGGCAAAGACACACATGCATTGCCAACCGCGCACATCCGCTGGAGAGTGAGGCAACTTTTCAAACTCAAGGTGAAACACAGCAACGAGGTCTGGAATGTCCGACTCCTAGGTTTCACTGTCGTTGATGTCGCGCACACCTGCAATGATAGTGTCCTGGTCGTCTACGAGCACAAGGGGAAAGACATTTCCGCCCATGGCGCAGGATGGCATGACAGTAGTGTTTGCAAGTTGCCGATGGGGACTGCGATGGACGGCCAGCACGTTTGGAGGGGAACACTGTAAAGGGCCGTCGAGATCGCCGCGGCGCTGAAGCGGATGCTGTCCGAGATCGTTTGGACGAGCGCCCTGGACTGCGTGGTTCTTCATCACGGGAATGGTCAGTGCTGTAGATCGAGCGGCGTGTGCGCTGCGATTTCGAAGAGGTAGGGCAGGATTGTCCGCGAGGGGCTGAGATCGAGGGGCTGCGTACCGAGGGCATAAACTGTGGGTGTAGAATCACCGGTGGTGGTGGTGGTGGTGGAGGAGGAGGTGGAAGAAGCAATGGGAAACTTGGCGGGGGCGGAGGCGACGTAGTCTGCCGAATGGGTCTGTCGAGTAAAGCCCCGGGTCCATGAAATTGTAACCAGGTCGGCTGTGCTCCATGGGTCCAGGTGATGTACGTCTGTACAACTTGTTCCGACATGATTTGAGCAACTCAGTCATGACTTCACTTCATGTCAGCGGCATCATCCAAAACGGCAAGCAAAAGTAAGTCACGTGCAAGCAAGCAAATATCATGTGATCAACAACAAGAGCCGAACACGCCGCCACGGCCTACCATTTAGTCCTCCGATGGTCGCTGCTGCATTTGACGACCGCGTTCCTAGCCGCGAGCCTCAAGTTGTTGATAGACCTTCCATGCCTGCTTGACTTCCTCAATCGGCTTCTGAAGAAACCGAGCAATGGTCTTATAGGTGGGCCTGGAATCCTTGTCTTTCTTCCGTCGCACCATCTCATCCAGCTCACCCTGTGTCCATGCCGTGAAAGGTTCACGGTATGCATTGCGAAGTGCAATGGTGAATTCTTGTAGAAGTTCCCGAGGACCATGAACCACCGTAGGCGACGGCCGGAACGACGAAGCACCTGGATGCGGACGTACCGAGCCATCAGAATCCGAATCAGGTGTCGTAGGCGACGTCTGTCCTGGCTCTCGGCCACCGTGTGTGGCGAAGGGAGCAAGTGGACGAGGCGGTGGCAGTCGATCCAACATCGATTCGGGCCGAGTACCAGGATTGTGGTCACTAGCATCCCGATGTGCCGCTCGAGGCGGGGATAAGGCCGGTATGTACCAGGTAGATGACGTGTCCACAGGTCGAGCCCGAATTCGTGTGGGAGAACGGGATCTGTCAGACGAGGCGCGCTCCGTGATGATGCGGGGCCGCAACCCATGTCTGGAGTTTCTTGGTGCTCTCGGGGTCACCACAGTGTCTGACGGATGGCTACGCTCAGTCATCAGGGCAAAGTTCAGGGTGTCCAGAGCTGTCGCAACTTGGGATGCAAG